GGCCTGTCACTGACTCCCTAACTTCCCAAAAGGGGGAGGGAACCCCAAAAGACACTAGAAACGGGTTTCACACTACACACGGGCCCACTCGCTGGCTCCCAGAGGCTCACCACAAAGCACAAAGGAAGCAGCCGGCTTGCATCCTGCAGAGGACCTGGACCTTCTCTCACCGGTCAGATCCTGAGAGTTAGCTGGAATACCCCAGGCAACTGTCTGAAGTTCTGTTCTGGATACCACACAGATGCAGTAACCTTTTATCTGCCAAAGGGGGACACTAGAGATTCAGCTGGTGTTTATGATTACAGATCGTAGAAAAGCTGCCTCAAAAGTACCCACCTTATTATAAACACATAGACATGTTTTCTACCAACCACAGATGTCTCAGATAGGACTTAAGAAAACTCTACCTTAACTTGCTCACCTGTACGAGAGTAACTCGATCCTTCCCACCAAATACACGCATCATGAAACACAAGTCTTGTCAGTGAGAAATGAATGCCAACACACATACCAAGAATTAGAGTAAAAGTACCCCAGGATGATCTTCAGTCACCTATCTTAAAAAGCAAGCAAGGGATCAGACACTTAAACAGTGTCAAGGGGGCACTCGGCTTTTGACGGCTGTAATGCCTGAGTTAAAAAGGAGGGCCAGGCTGCCAGCCTCCCCAGCTCAGCAGTCAGCTAGCTCACAAACAGGTCTCGAAGCATGATCAGGGCACAGAGCTTTCTACTACTGACAGCGCACTAGAGCACAGGTCTGAGGACCACCCCCATGACATCAGCAAGGAACGCTGGTCTTTCTGATGCCTCTACTGAAAACCACTGAGCTGCCCCCAGTGTTCCAGCTTATGAAAGCAAAGTGGACCAATAATCACCAATGCCTAACAGAACACTTCTGTCCTCAAAATGGCAATCTATTGATACTTATTCACAATCGGACCTGTGCTGAACGTAATCCAGTATTTTTAAACTTTCAAAGGCTGCTCTTTATGGCGAGACAGCAGAGGGTTGGAGAGATGGCTCAGCAGTTAACAGCACTTCCTACTTCCCCCAGAAACCCCAGGTTTGAATCCCAGCACTGAAAGGGTAGCTCACAACTGTAACTCCAATTTCAGATCTCACCAGGAATTTTTGACCTCCAAAGGCACCAGGCAAAACATGCAGGCAAAACATCCTTAGGCATTAAAAAAATCTGTTTCTTGGGTCAAATAACCAACCACAACTGCAGAGAATAGGTAAATGAAGAAACTCATTATCTCAGAGGTAGAAGGGACCTTACAGACAAGCACATGGGGTCCCAACTCAATGCCTGCCTCAGGGCTCATAGTCAAAGCAAAGCAGTGACACGGGAATAAAGCACAATCTGAGAGAGTAGTGTGTATCACACAGGGACCATGTGTGCTCCAATTCATTGTCAGCAAGTGAAATGAGGTGTCTAGGATAAGTAAACAAGCTCCTGAAAACTGCCCCATCCACACAGTGATAACTAGAAACTGTATCTAAATTTTTAACATGGTTTTCTTCTAAATACAGATACTTTCCCAATTAAGTTCTTTGAGATAGTTCTCCTAGACACTGTGCAATGCTGGTATCATGCACCATCTCAGTCCCTGAAGGGCTAAGCCAGCTCAGTTCTGATTTCTCCTGATACACAATAGAGGCCTAGTGACTTTGGCATCCGGTAGGGCTGTGATGATAAAATTGTAATACCTCAGACTTGAGGGTGAAAATCCACAAGTTAGTTACCAAATAAATGGCAAAACATGCCTGCATCCAGGTTCAGCACAGCAGTGGAAGACAATCTTATGCTGGTAAGTCTCACCTAGAACAAGCTGAAAATCACCAAAACAAAAATTCTTGGAAGGTGTTAACAAACCATGCAAAGCATCATAAAAGCTGTTAGATGGCCTAACTAAAGAATAATACTGAATTTCAGGTGCTTTTAGGTGCCAGACTTAAAAAAGGTTTCTGTGTCACATTTACTTCACAATTACAATAGACTACATTTTTATTTTCTCAGTGCTAGAATGTATGCACACGTCTTTTCGTTGGAATACCTACCACTCCCTTGGCACTTACTGACTGGCCTGCCTGTGTGTATGTTCTAAGCATACTTGGAAGTACTACCCTGAACACAACTGGCAACATCATTCACTGCCTGTATTAGAGAAAAAAAAAAAATTTAAAGGAGTCTATTATCTACTTCCTGGAGTCAAAAGGAGACAGTTAAGCCAGATTCACTGAACAATAAATAGAGATTATCACTTACCAACAGTTCTTTCATGAAATACATGACATTTTTATTTGTTATTAAAACAGCAAGCCCTATTCTCTTACAGCTGAATTTATGTTAAGAAAAGGCTGAATTTAGTGATGAGCTCTGCGGTACACTTGAGTTTCCTACTGCAAGTCAGTCATGTGCTCTGCTCCCTTCTCAACCTTACTTGGGTGCCTGACCAGGGTCTTCCATTATCCAGGAATCCTAAGGTCCTATACCAGAAGCTTCTAAAGGTTGTGTGCTATTGGAGTACCTGGTAAGCTTCAAACTAGGGTACTCGGACAGACCTCTGGTCTAAACGCTTAAGTGAGGCTTCGGTTTTTATCTAGTCTATATGTTAATGAGCAAACCCTGGAGACCAACAGGGTGTCCGGAGCACATGGTGCTAACATTTCAGTGAGTTGATACAACAGACATCTATAATGAAGGGAAAAGCTATTTTCCCAACCCCCTGCTTCTCATAGGTATCCATATCTTTAGATTTCAATAGATATGATCAATGACTGTAGCAAATTCTTAAGACCAAATCACTTTTTACCCTTCAGTGACTGTTGATTTACAAATTAACACAGTTCATGTTTCAAGTTTTCAAACTCATTTTTACCAAAAAGCCCAATTTTCCTTGTATGAGTTGACTATTCATTAGTACTCTGATAGAAGATACCTATCTGTTTCACCATAAATTTACTATACCATCTTTTAAAATCAATTAAACAACCTTGAGAGTTAAAAATTTTGAATGTTTCATTTTTTTAACATTAAAATATAAAGAAAAAAGGGGGTGGGGCTAGGAGCTAAGCTAAATTGGAAAAGTGCCTCCCAAGCAAGCACAATGGCCAGAGCCAGATCCCAGAACCCATGTATAGATGCTGGGTATGGTGGTACAAATTAGCAAGCCCAGCACCAGGAGGCAGACAGGAGGGTCCCCAGGGCTCACAGCCAGCCAGTCAACTGAACTTGTGAGCTCTAGGCCAATGAGAGGGCCTGTCTCAGAGGAAACAGGTTGGTGGCGAGGGTCAACGCTGGTCTCTACGTGCACATACATGTGCACGGCCACCCACACAGAAACATGCTAAAAAAGAATCTTGGTCCTGCAAAAAACCAACAAGGTAAACTTGAGGGAATGAGATTTAATTCACAGACTTTTGATGTTGGGAAAAGAGAAAGCCTGTATCACAGAGAAAGCCAACCACCCCCAAGAATATTTGGTATAAATGAATGGCTTTTCTTGAGAGATTTTAAGCTTCTTTGTCAAATAGGTGTATGTTAAACAAAAAATAATTCTTGTAAGTACATGTTCTCCATGATCTTCATCTAAAGTACTGACCAGAGTAATTGTGTAGTCAGATTCCTTAAAATATAGCACTAAACTTATAAGAAAATGGTAAATGGCTCTCACCAAAAATATCAGAGGTATCAACTTCAGTAAACTCCTAGGATCCTTTTATATTTTTCAGAGCTCTGGGGAGATGATCAAGTATCAATTCTATTAAAAACAAAAACGGCACTACCAGGAACAGGTTGGAGTTTGGAAGTGAAAACTAGAATGTTTAGGAAAGTGAGTTTTCTTACAGCTTGGTAAAGGATAGGCACTCCTTTTACACTCTGCCTTATATGACATCATTTTCAGGCTATGCCCCACAGGACTTTATGGATTTGTTTTAGACAAAGTCTCTCTATGCAGTCCAGCCTGACCTCAAACTCATACTCCTCCTGTTTCTATCTCCAGAATGCTGGATTATGGGTATGTCCATAGGAATAGAGACCGTGATAAAGGGCTTCAACTTTCATGGCCACATGAAGAAACTACAGGTCCTACGCTTACCTTCATAGGCCCTGTGACGAACAGCACTGAAAAGATGAACAGAACTTATGAGGCAGGGATTTTAGCCAGGCAAACTGAAAAGCTTAGCATCTGCTGCTTAATTCATTCTTGAAAGAGAAGTGACTAATGTCACAGGAATGTGAGTTAGGACAAAAAAAGAAAAAAAAAAAAAAATCAGCTGGTGTTTTCACAACAGTGGGCTATGTAATGGCTACAAATGCAAACTAATGCCAGGAAGATGTAGTCCACAAAGATGGAGGACAGCTTGGGATAGAGGCTGGGGTCTGTTAAGGGGGGGAAAAAATTACACACACACACACACACATATATATATGTATACACACACACACACACACACACACACACACACACACACAAGATTGTTGTACTTCTAATGAAGAAATTACAGTTTCAAACTGGAACTCAGGAATGATACTTTATAATAGATAAAAACGCTGAGGCTTATACACATTCAGCCAATTTAAAGAGATCAACGTGATGTAGAAATCACTACATGGTATAGACTATACTTTTAATTACTTGGCAATATCCTTTAATGTGAAAATTATAAAAACAAATATGAACTGTGTAAGAGGTGAAATATATGATCACACTATAGAACAAAAAATAGATTGAAACATTTTTTCACTGTCTTGACTATAAAAACACTGTCAAGGTGTGCTGAGAAACTATGAGATATAAGGAACACACAGCACTTACTTCAAAATAAAAGGCAGACAGAGTGTTACATATTCCCTTTATGTTATTTACTATTCCTGACTTTGATGTGTAAACTGTAAACAGTGAAGCCCCTGGCTTCATTAGGTGCTAATTTTACACCCAGTATCACTTCGCTGGAATTTCAGAAGATCATCTAGGTGTCACAAACAAGAAATATGTATATACTGAAATTTTATTTCAATCGCACAAATGAAGTTAGCGTGTAGGAAATTTAAATGAAACAGTTATGGTAAAAACAGCAGAGACCTGAAAAGCCTAAATAGGAAACACACCTGCGGCATGAGGATTCGACATTCACTAGTGTTTCATCTTTAGTTATGCTTGTAAATTTTTAAACGAACTTTGAGATCATGACAACTATTCTTTAGAGACTTCAGCACCAGCACTAAGGTTTGTACATTCAGTTTGTTTGCTATTGACTTGCTAGCCATTCACAGAGTGTGTTGTACAGGGTTGTCGCAGGTCAGATCACAGTGTTGAGGAGAGCAGTACCTTCCTGTAGTTAGAAAGGGTCCCTAAACTGTACTCAGCCAAAGACATTCAACACACAAAAGAGCCCATCATCATCACATAGTTCCAAGGAACGGTTGTGGGAAAACAACCTAAGCTTCCGTTTCCCATTTTAATCACTGAAATCTCTAATAATGTCAAGACTGTCAGGTGTGACAATGAACGCATAGTCCAATTAAGCGTCTAGGAAGGAACACATTTAGCCATGTGGATAATGCAATATTATGGAGGATTGGAGGATATAGCATGAGGCATGAGTCAACACTGGTTCTTTTTTTTTTTTTTTTTTTTTTTTTTTTTTATCATTTTACACAGACATTGTGTTAAATATTAGACCAAGGCACAAAACGTTTAGTGCATAAACCAGTTTCTTTTAGGACTTAGCATTTGACTTTAGTATTCTTCTGTCTCACTTTGGACCACTTATACCCAGTACTCTACCTACTTATAGATATTTAACTTCAGTAACAAAATCAAAAGTGACTTTTGATCAGATCTGTAAGGGATGTACACACATTATCAAAGTAGCTGCATAATCAAAAGTTCAACAATAAAATGAAATGCCTATTTCTTTTAGAGAATAGCTTAGAAGCTTGCTGCATCTTTAATGCCTTTATTACTGCATGACAATGAACAATGGATAAAAAAGAGCTGTATATTTGAACTATGATAGCTCATCCCTCAGTTTAATCTAAAAATGAAGTTTCTACAGAAACAAACTCTTAACAAGGAAAAAAAAAATCCTCATTCGACTTCTCTGTAGTGTAATGACTGCAAATTACAGTGTTTAGAAAACTACGCTGCCATCAAGCTTTGTTTTACACATAAGATATATGAAATCTAAAAAGGAAACGAAAATGGATTTATTTCTTCCTTTTTTTTTTTTCAGTAAAAGTTTTGATAACTAAGGATTCCAAAGCAAGTATGGCACATTAATAACTCAAGCGTAAATCATGATGGAGAGCCTGGAGAATTTTTGATTTCCTAGATTTTCCAAAAAGCTAACATTAGAACAAATAGGTTTTCTCCCTTATTTTAATCTGGCCAATTGTAACATAAAGGGGTGGAACACAACCACCGCATGCACGCACGTGCGTGCACACACAGAAACACACCATCCACTCAGGGTCTAGCAGTATCAGACTCTTTCTACCACCCAAGTCTCACTTCAGTTTTATTAAAAGAAAACTGCAGAACTCCCCATTGGTGTCCCTTTAGCTGGTGATTCCATTCCTGTGACCCTAATTACTGCTATCAATGACATTTCTGGTATTTTAGCACAACAAAGGTCAAGAGCAGCTTCACAGTCAGGAGCATGTACCCAAACCCCTGCAGCACTGCAGGGACTGAGTGACAGTAACAGCCAAAATCAGTGATGAAACTTTCAAGTTCCACAGTGAGATGTGATTCATGTGAAGCTCAGAATCATGCTTCAGACTATTGAGATTGCTGGTTAAATACAAACAGCTGAAGACATGATGTAAGAGGTTAAGTACTTGTTTTGTTTAACATGTTTACCGATTAAAGTCACAAAATATTTCTCATTATAACTCATGCAGATAATTGAGGGAAAAAAAAGATAGTGCAGAATTAACATTAAATAAAAAATTATTCCTCCCCTTCCTCCCTCTTCCCTATATACTACAAAATATCTTCCCTGGGACTAGGCCTTGAAAAGGCCACTACATATTAGTGTGACATGCATTATTGTCTGTAATTAAAAAAAGCTAACTTTGTGGTGATTGTAATTACATTATAAAAATGTCTGCATGCATAAGTCTAAAAAAGGTTGAAAACCTACGGTAAATCTATAATAGAATGGTTTACATTTGACCACTGTTAGTTATGTAGAAGTCATAGATTTGGTAAAGCATTGTAACAATTTAGGAAGGCATCTAAATCTTTAAATTCCGGACGGATTCTGTTTTAAACTACAAAATTGCATGAAGGCTAACCCGAAAGACTTCCTATCATTCTAAAACTCCTCAAGGGGGACTAAACATTTTAGGACCTTTCTTATAAATGCCACCCTTTGAAAACACAGACAATTGCATCCATTCCGTATTTTATGATCTTAGCTATTCACGGAATATCAAATGACAGGAAGACAAACCTGAGAGAAACGTTTACAATGCAACAGCGGAACTTGCTAAATTCATCATCCATGCCCTCTGAAAACACCTCCTAAAGCCTTTCTCTTCTTTATTTTAGCAATGGGTTGTGGAAAACGTGCAGTTTCATCTAGACATGAAAATATTTCTTGCCTGGCGGGTTTAGTACTGGTAGGGAACTCAGACATAGTTCTTCATCCTGGGGTAAGGGTCAGGTCAAGAGCAGCACACCACCATCGGGAGGGAGCAGCTAATCGCCAGAGTCACTGTGTCTGAAGGCTTTCCGAGGTTGGTGCTTTTTGCCTCCTGACTGTGTATCCATTTTCTTCTTACAGCTTAAAAATCGTAGGGGGTTGTGAACAGTTGTTTGTAGGAATTTTTGTTTTCTCCAGATTCAAGTCTTGTCTCTCCTCAGTTTGCTTCTCTATGCAGTGTTTGACTTGCTCAACTCCTGCCTGATTGCTATAACAGGGAAGAAATGGTTTCCAGTGTCAATACAGGGGGAAAGATAAATGAATGATGTGTTCAAACTTGGTCATAGAAAGATATAAAATTTAATAAATCTTCATTTAACTGATCTTTAATACCACAAAGATTCTAATCACATGTGATTATATTTACTTCCTTCCTTCCCTTGTGTATATAAGACAAAGATTCTACTTTCTGTGGGCTCCAAAACAAGAAGTGTGTAGTGGAATGGGCGAGGAGAGGTGTCTTAGAGAAAAATCTGCCTTACTGGTCCCACCAAATACTACACTTGACACTTAGAAAACTTGCTTATCTTCATTTTTATGAATAACACACATCCTGAGAGGACAGCACCTTCCCAACAACCTAAACCAAGGCTAGCCCCTCAGAAGAGTGAGGGGAAGCTGGCATGCCGAGTACTCACCATCAATAAGCTCCTCCTTCAGCTTCGTTAGTTCCTTTCTCATTTCATCTAAAATGTCCTGAAGTATTGAGAGAAAGCACCAGGAAGCAAACAAACAGACAGATGAAAGGGCATCATGAAATATAGTTCTGTGTATGTGTGTGCATGACCAGAGGACAGTCTTGGGTAGTGGGTATTATTCTATAAGCACAGGTCGTCATCCATCTGTCCCAGTGTTCCTGCCCCCCTTTGTGAAACAGTTTCTTAGTGGCCCGGAACTCACCAACACACCTGGCTTGTTCAAGTGTCCAGGGATCAAACGCAAACCCTTGTGCTTACTCCATATGGAGCACCATCTCCCCAGGGATCAGCCACCATGTGGCTCCTGATTCCATACTTTCAATTCTATTTCTTAGAAGGCTAGCCTTACTAAACTGTCTAAATATTTCTTCCAAGCCCATTTCTGCTTCTTCTGGCCCAATAAGATAGGAAATGCAAAGACAAGAACTGACAGTTCTGTCATTCAGAAGTATAATTAAGACAGCTGTGGGATCTGACCCTTTAAGTAGACATCTAAGAGGTCATGTGCAGGTTAGTTTCAAGGAAGATATCACTGAACAATCAGCTCTTGACAGATTTGTCACTACATCTCGAGTATGGCAATTTCTTAGAACTCCCCACAACCGCCAAGTCCTACTTCAACTACCCAAGAGAGTGGGCACCAGCCACACAGAGCTCCTGAGCTCTTCAAAGGAAGTTAGTCTGAAAAGAGATGGGCTGTAAGTATAAACCATGTTCCAGATTTCAAACCTAACACTGAGAAAGTAATATGGAGGCTAACTCTTGCAGAGAACCCAGGTTTGGTTCCAATATGGCTGGCTGCTCACAACTGTTTGTAACTCTAGGTTTAGGGGAGCTGATGCACGTCTCCTCTGGTCTCTGAGAGAGGAAATAATCCATTACATGAAAAACTTAACAAAAACAATTCATTAAAATGTCAAAACATTGTACATTTTCAATATATTTAGATTGAATATTTTTATTTGTTCATTTTAAACAGATTTATTTCTTATCCTTTCCATGTCTTGAGTATTTTGCCTGCATGTGTAGTATATGTACCACATATGTGCCTGATGCCCAAACAGGCCAAAAGAGGGCATCAGATCCTCTGAAACTGTATGATTTTAAGAGAACATCTGGGTATTCAGAAGCAGACCTGGGCCTCACGCTCCTAACTAGTGAACCCTGTCTCCAGCATCACCAGCTCATTTTTCATGTGCCTACCATTTCACATGTGCATGTATGTGTATGTACACAGATACATGTCTGTGTTTAAATGATGCCCTGTGTCTCCAACAAGAATTGTAGATACAAAGTTAAAAGGACAATGGAAAAGAGCCACAATTTTCATAGGAGAAAAACAACAGCTATTTTTAGAAAGCATCAGTTCCTCTTAAATTATGTGTTATACTGTATACTTTAGGAAAATTTTAAATTATGTCTTAAAGTTCATTAAAGAAAAAGCTTTCATGTACAAATGAGGTTGATGACTACCAACTTGTTAAAATTCCTTTATTTTTGGACTAATCAATTTTCATAAACTGCTTCAAATAAAACTGCTGGAGTCAAAAGTTGGAGATTTATTTTTGACAAACCGCTTCTTAGAAATCCTAAGTATGCAAAGAATGTCCATTTCCCATATAATCTTGCCAAAATCAAATTTGTTCAAATTTGTTTGCTCTATTTTTGCCAGTATGGTAAGAGAAAGGTGGAAGGTCACTGTTACTGTAATTGCAAGCTTTGTCCTTACATCTAAGCTTTATATTACACTACCATGCTCCCTTCACTGCTGCTAGAACTTAAAGGAACTTCCTGAACCAGAAAGGAATCTAAATAGATGCTCAAAGGGATGAATACAGCCACTATAATTTGTCTAAAATATTTGTAACTGTGTGATCTTTTAGTGTACTCCCAGGATCCATGTGGAATGTATGTGTGCAAGGTTCCCTACCCCCTTTTAAAAGAGAAAGATGAAAGGAGGCTACACTTAGTACCCACCTGCTTCAGTCTGTCATAGTCGAGTCCTTCTGTCTGGACTCCATTGGCACTGGGCTGTGATGAAGGTGTAGATTTGGGTCTGTACAAAAGAAATTTCCAGAACAGATAAGTTATATTTTCAACATCTAATAAGTTTGTAAGTAACTGTAAATTTGCCACCCAGATGCCACATTTAAATTCATTTCCAAAACACATTTTGCTAAAGAGATAATTGTCAAAATTGTAGGACTAATTAGAACAGGAATCAGAAAATGTCTTTTGCTTTTCTCAATTTAATCATCTATTTTAAAAAGTATAAAGGGGTGACAATATGGAGAAGTCCCTATAAGAGAACAGGAGACGGCACTCCCTTGGACCATGGACATGACAAGGAGATCTGCTGAAATTCCAAGGCCTGCACAATGCAGTCGTGTTTGGTGCTTCTGAAATTTTATATTATGTATTAAATATCAAGCAAATGAATAAAGGGAAAGCTCTAGTATCTTCAATATTTTATTTTAACATAGGTCAGTTTATAAGTTCTGATCCTTTGGTTTTTAGTAAAAAATAATTTAGTAAGCCTAATTTCTTTGTCTATTTGCTTCGTTTTTAAGCATTTAAACAAAAATGCTGAAAAATGACTATTAGGTTAGAGGCATACTCCCATATCCGATTGGTGCTATCTTTTCACAAAGTCCATAAAATTACTTTGTTTTAAAAAAGAAGAAAACAAAAAATTAATAACTGGGAAATTCTAAGACAGAACCTGTTGATTACAACTGTACTTTCAAAAGTTTAGCTTTTATTAAAAATTTTAAACAGTAAAATAAGTGTTGTGGACTAGGCATATTTCAAACATAAGTTCCAACACAAAATACAACAGTCATGACTCCCTCTCCAATCCTGCAAATAAGAGAAACTCCTCATGGGGCACCTGGAGTTCAGTTATTCACATCTTCATTTTCTGGTTAAAACAGTAACCATTCTACAAACCATTAGTGAATCACAATTTTCAATTTTGCAGAGTACCAGTATTAGTAAATTATCTGAATGAAGACCCAACACATGTAATTTGTCATAAAGTTATATTTCATAATTCTTAAGATGTAACACTTCAAACCCAAAGGCATTGTTCATGGAAATGAAATACTTAATTTGCTTTAATATCAAAACATATTATTGCTTAAAAGCTTATTATGAAACAAACAAGCAAACAAAACAAAACAAAACAAACAAACAAACAAACAAAAAACCCTCAATTTTAACTTATTGGGTATCTGCTTAAACAGTGACTTCCAGAAACGTTGTTTAGTAAGTGCAGAGGATTTATGTGAAGAGCCACTTCTGCTCTCATGAAGACATCTTTCTTTGTTGAAGACCCTACTTAATTCTAAGACCCACAGCAAAACATTCAGTGTTCTGTGTAGTCAGGCATAGCAAATATTCTTGAGGGTTGACACACAGCATATATACCCAGGTTATTTATCTTTGCTTTCCAGAATTAAATAAATTATTACCTAATCTGCCTTTATCCCTTCCATTTAAGAAGGCCAAATAGTTGCTTTTTCTTGACATATATGTCTATTTCTGAAATTCCAACAAACAGGTACAATCTGCTACTAAGCTGAGAAATATGCTACACTATATAAACATATCTGTATTTGTTAAATAATTTAAAATGTTACTTAATAAACAACTGTGCAAACATGCAACTTAAAAAAAGTTTAATTCATGCTAACATGCAATCCTCTTCCACCACACACCACCACATACTACCATCACCACCATCACCACCACCACCACCACCACCACCACCACCACCACAAGAATTAACTCAAGGGGGGAACTTTTCATACTGAAGGAAAGGAGTAATCACCACTTTATTTTAAAGGAACATTAACCTCATACTAAGTATGGAAGTAGTAGGTGACTTAGAGGATTTTGTTTGTAGGCATTGCTTCTCTCTATGTTCTAACAAATTTTCCTAATAAACCTTTTGATCTGAACAATTAGCCTATTTCAAGTAAACAAAAAGGTTGGACTGTAACATGTAATATGGAAAAGTAACTGGTTGACAAAAATAATCTGCCAAATATTTTGATTGCCAATGGCATAAAAGTAATTTTAGCAAGTAAGAATGATCAGAGTCCAATTACAGAACTACTTACTGACATAGATATCCTCTCTATCCATTAATTATGTGTTCAGTAGACCGGAAGTACATTTAAAAAAATGCATGTATGTAACATGGATGTATTTCTTTTCTTTTGAAACAGGTTCTCAATCTTCCTAATGCTGTGACCCTTTAATACATACAGTTCCTCATGTTGCAGTGATCTTCAACCATAAAATTATTTTCACTGCTTCTTAATAACTGTAGTTTTGCTGTTATGAATCATAATGTAAATATATGACATGCAAGATATCTGATGTTTGACCCCATGAAAGGATTGTTTGACCCCACCCCCCACCCCCACCCAGAGGGATCGTGAACCACAGGAAGAGAAACCCTGCTCTATGTAGCCCCAGCTGGCCTCCAGAGACCCTCCTGCCTCTGCCTCCAGGGTACCAGGGTTAAAGGTGTGTGCCACTGTGCCTGGCATATATTGAAGTTTCCCCTTTTTTTATTTTTTTCCTTTTGTTTGTATTCAAGAAAGGGTTTCTCTGTGTAATAGCCCTAACTGTTCTTGAAGTTGCTTTGTATACAAGGCTGGCCTTGAACTCAGATACTCATCTGCCTCTGCCTCCCAAGTGCTGGGATTTAAAGGCATGCAATACCATGCCTGCGGCTATTAATGTATTTCATAATGTATTACATTAATGTATTAATGTAATAAAACAGAAGTATTCCAGTTCTTTGGTTATGCATTCTTTCATTTATCTGAGACAAGGTCTCACTATAGTTCAGGATACCCTTAATTCATAGCTCTTCAGTGTCCCGAGTGCCAAGATAACAGGGATATAATACCATGTTTCAATCAGGAAGGAAACTGATGATTGACACTGCCCATCCCTTTGGGAGGTGGTAGAGGGACCTGGCAGTGCACAGGACATGATAACTGAGCCTACTCCCAGATCTGTATGTTTAATATTCTGACGTTTGGGGCTTTTGTTTAAAAAAAAAAAAAAAAAAAATCTTAGGGTTCATCTAGAAACAATGTGCTCAAGATTGTTAGACACTCAATACAATGAGGGAACAGCTTTATCTACAGCTAAAAAACTGTCCTGTGTCCTAGCAAAAGCAGCACAGGAACCATGATTCCATTCTTTACAAGCCTTGAACAGAATCATGAAGAAAACAGCTTTAAAGGAAAATGCTAAAGTGACCAACACGGTAAGATGATCCGACTTTCCATTGTAGCACTTCTGATGTTTACCAGTTGTATTTATCTGAATCCAGCTATCAAGTGATAGCAGTTCAAACTACAGTTAAAACAAGAAACCTCAGTACTCCCACAGACTCCCTTGTGGTGATTACCAATCCAGGTAGAAAAAGCTCAGCCCTACCCTGGACATGTTATTGAAAAGTCTGAAATCACAAAGTCACAGCAGGATGATACCTGTGTAATGAATCATAGGACCTGTTGTCAAAAACAATCTGATTTTTCCTTGGAGAATCCCGTCTATGAAGGGGAAAAACCATTTAAAGGGTATACAGTAGAACTTCAAAAGATAATTCCCATGGCGCTATTGATTTATAGGCTTTTACTTATAGCAAGCAAAATAATAATAAAATGTGTTAATCATCCTTAAAATATTTATTTTTACAAAATTTAAGAGGGTGTGTTGATACCAATTTACATGATACAATGGCTGCTTTTGTAGGCTACTGACCAAGGATCAAAATATAAGCAAAGACATCCCTATTGAGTGAGTATCAAAGCAGTAGACTAAAATATATCTGTAACTCAAAGTATACAAAACTGGCTATATATAGGCACACAAAGAACATATTCTGTCATCATGAAGAAATCAGTAGATTTTTAATGAAAACCATAGGAACGTTCCAGTTATTAGATATCTTTCATCTCAATGTACTTTTACCACAACAGTCCTGCCTAGATTAACTCACAGAACTAAGTCAGTACTGTTTATGGACACTATCTTTCCTTCCTTTGTTTTTGGGGACAGGATTTCAGGTAGGCCAGGCTGGCCTCAAATCTATTAAGTAGATGAGGATGACCCCGACCTTTCTTCTGCCTCACCCACAACCCCCATACCTCAGTACTGGGATTACAGGTGTATGCTACCATATCCAGTTCATGCAGTTCTAAACATTAAACTCAGGCCTTTGTGCATGTTATGTAAGCATTCTGAAAAATGAGCTACACCCCTAGCTTGAGTATTTTTGGTTGTGAGCCTAGCCTTTAAAAACTGAGCCATCTCTCCAGCCCTAGGCTGAGTATACCCCCCCCCCCCCGCCCCCCCGTGCGCAGTTGATGACAGGTGTTTTTCTCCACTTTGTTTTTTGGAGGCAGGGTCACTTGACTAGTCAGCAAGCCTTTCTTTTCTAACTTAACTATGATTAAAAAATATTGGTTATTAAAATTTTACAATGTTTTATTATTGATTGATTTGATCTTTAAGACAGGGTCTCACTATGTAGCCTCACCTGGCCCAGGAACTTACTATGTAGTCTAGGTTGACCTCAATCTCAGAGATGTGAGAATGGGATTAAAAAGTGTGCCCATCACACCCAAATTATTTATTTTTTAAATTACATTCAAATGGGTATTTTCCCTACATGTATGTCTACATGTACATGGAGTGCCAGAAAACACACTGGATCCTAGGAACTGGAGTTACAGACAATTGTTAGCTACCCATGTGGGTACTAGGACTTGAACCTGGGTCCACTAAACCAATTATTAAGCCACCTCTCCAGTTTTGACTGAGATGTAGCAAATTTGTACTTTATTTTTGCTTTTACATTCTTTACAATCTTTAGCTGAATTTCAATATAAAACATAAAGGTTTCTTCTAAAATTGTATTTTGAAAACTACGTAGAGACTAGTTAGGACATTTTTGGTCAATATTCTTATTTGATTTTCATTATTGTTCAATGTTTAATTGATGTGGGGCAGTGATTCTATTTTGGTCATGTTAGAGATGTCCTGCGTTCTTTGGGAGAAGTTTCATTAAACTCTTAAGAGAAAAAATTATGGATGCAAAGACATAAGACATGTGACTGTTAAGTTTGGGTAATAGCTGCATTTCAATTTTTTAAAAAACAAGTTAAAAAGGATGAAACTATTCTAAAATATCTATAAATATGATTAAGAAAATGTTCCAGCATTATTTATCAGATAAGCAGGAGTAGCAAAAATATGAATGCAGTGGTTCTCAGTATATGGATCACAGCCGCTTTTATGTTTCCCTTTATACAACTAAAATTTTTCTATGATAAAAATGTGTTAACTTCTTTTTAGACACATGTAACGTAAAACTTAGAGAAAAATCTATACCTGGAGATGACAGGTGACTTACTACCGTTCATCGTGTTTGCTCTTTCCCAGGGCTTTCTGGTTGGTTCTTCAAAAATAAGAAACAAGTGTTATTAAACAAACACACCTCAGAGCCTTCCAGAATCATCGCAAAACAAGATATGAAAGAATTATCATTCTATGTACATAGCAGTAATACAGATACAACATTTAAATTTTGAACAGTAGGGACTCTAACTTGTATGACTTCAGGAACTGAGGTAGGAAGAACTGAGTCTGAGGCTAGCCTGGTGTTCACAGTGAGTTCCAAGTAGCCAAGACTACATAGCGAGACCTTATATAAGAAATTAAATCAAAACAAAGTAAAAAGAAAAAAGTGAGAAAAAAAATGAATGTTTCCTTAAAACCCCTTATAAAATCTAAATAACCTAAATGATAGTGGTAATAAACATGATAAAGAATGCACTAAACTTTTTGTCCAATAGTAAATAAAAACAACAATCTGTGATGTGTTTCTATTCAAACAGCTCTTGGGAAAAAAACAGTTCCAAATAAATTTCAGAATCAGTCTGTCCTAGGGACTTAGTAGACAGCATATAGACACAGGCTTAGAATTCTGATTTTCTAATTTGGTCGACTCACTGATCTGACTAGATGACTTGATAAAATCAAAAGTGAAACTTGTCATAATGGAAAAGCATCTGAGTCACACTCAAAATAAAGTCTGTGTATGAGTCATGCTCACACTGTAGTTTTATATAAGAAACTGTTTCATCAACTAATGTCGCTCAAGTGGCTTCTGCACACTGTCACTCAGGAGGAAGCTTTAAAGTCTCTTCAAACTGTATGCAAAACTAAATCTGAACTCCCCTGAAGCCCTGCTTTGGGCTCTGAATTGCTGCTAGGCAATCTAGGGAAGAACCTTAAGTTGCCATCGATCTTCCTTTACTTCATAGTCACTTAATCCTTCCTTTTCTATGGGAATAGCTAAGGCATTCTATCAGTGAACTCATGAATGGCAGCTTCCAAAGTTAGTAAGGGAACATCAAAAAACCAGAATGGAGCCAATGATGGGAGATGTCATTCTGTAAATACATTTCTCTTATTGGTAAATGAATAAAGCCTTATTGGCCAATAGGAGAGCAAGATAGGCGGGACTGGGAGACAAGGAAAATTCAGGGTCAGGTAGTGGGAGATTCAACATGTAGGACTGAGAGAGCAGAACTCCGGATTCTCTCTCCAGCAAGCCAAGACCACGTGGAAACATTTAGATGAATAGAAATGGGTTAATATTTAAGACAGAGCTAGCCAATAAGTAATGCTAGTAACCTGCCAACTTTATATCTAATAGAGCATCTCTGTGTGTTATTTGGGGTTGGTGTGGCTGTGGGACCCGGCCAGTGGGAAAACATGCTTGTAACAAAATGGTGCCTGCACCATGAGGCACTTTCACTTAAAACTTGACAAAAGCTTAAAAAGGGATTTTAGAAACTAAAGAACAAAGACAAGCAAGGCTTCTTGGTAGCAACATTTTTCTTGGTTGGGCTCTGTTTTGCTACAGACAAGCAGAGATTTGCACAGCTCCTTTAAGGGAGGTTTCCTGACTCAGCATAACGGGGGGGGGGGATCACGGCTTTTAAAAAGCACTGCTAACATTTCAATGGTGTATATGAGCAGCTGGTTTAAAAATAAATAAAAACAGAGTAGCTGGGGCACTGGTGGCACATGCCTTTAATTCCACATCACTAGGGAGGCAGAGGCAAGCGGATCTGTGATTTCAAAGTAAACCTGGTGTACAGAGTGAAATCCAGGGCAGCCAAAGTTACACAGAAAAATCCTGTCTCAAAAAATGAAAAAATAGAAAGGAAAAAAACAAAACAAAAAAAACCAGCCTCATAAAAATGGAAAACAGAGAGTCTCAATACTATATGGTATTGTGTTGTCTTTGTAATGTTTGACTGCTGAGGAAATGGCAGTGATTGCTAAAAGAAATCCTGCTAGATTATTCTAATTTATATATTTTAAAAATGCTTTGATTCCAACATTTAAGTCTAAGGACAGATTACTGGGGAAAAGAATTTCTATTTTTGTTTCCACAGAAAATAAAGAGCTGTGGATTCCTTCCAGACTAACATGCTTTGATCCAGCAGTGTCCCAGGTGATCCAACATTCAAAACAGCTTGAACAAGGCAGCCTAGCAGACCACTACAGCCAGGATTTCTGCATCTTCTTGGGGTCCCCATGACAATGCCACCTACCAGCAGGAAGCAGTTTGGAAAGAACAATGCCCAAATTCCCAAATATTGTTTATGTTTGTTTTCATTTAAATGGACTTGGTTATAAATGGTTAATGACCACAAAAATTTCTTTAAAGGTAAAAAGAGGATTATGGTATAGATATGAATACTTTGTTTTGGAATGGATTTTCATTTATTGATACAAATTTAAGGTCAATTTTGTGATATGTGTATTTCTCCTCTTGTTTAGGTATTGTGTTTATATAGCTCATTTAGAAATATAATGTATAATTTAGTACAGATTATAGACAGTTACCTATGATAGTCAAAACTTAGTTAAGTTAGGTTTTCAAGATGTATTTGAGATGGATAGGCATTCTTCAAACTTTTCAAAGACCTACAGAATATGGTATTTAAAATGGTTTAGGGTTTTTCTTAACAGTGAGGCACAACTGTTCCTGGCAACACCACCTGCATCAGAAAGGAAGATGGACCTTGAAGAAACGCATTATGGAGTTTGCTTTCAATATGGCAAGACTAGCCATTTGGACAAGATACTGCTCTTGTCTGGACTGTTTGACTTTATGCTGTATAAACTGGACATGCAGGACCCACAGAAAAGTGACTGGTGAAACAAGATGGACATTGCTACAGGGTTCCTGCTTCATGGAAGAGTCTGCCAGACAGTCTGCAGGACACAGAAAGGTGACTGACAAACTGTCAATACAAATGGAGAGTTTAAAATTTCCTGCTTTTCTGAGGAGTCTGCCAGACACACTATGGCCTATAGGCTGAAGGTAAAACATTACAGAAGAACTTCAGGTGACTGATCAGGCGAGTTGTCGCTGTCATTTCTAGAGTTTACATATTATCCTTCTGTGGTCTTTGATTGAGTTGAAGACAAGTAGTTATGGTTATAGTTTTCCTTGGTTAGGATTAAAGATAAGTTAGGATTAAAGATAAGTTACATATAGGACTCACACTCACAAAGATAAGACAGATAATAAAATATTCTTTAAATCTTGCTAAATGTTAATGAACTAAATATTGTTAACTGTGGTTCTTATTTGATAACACCAAAGATAATCAAGGTGGTTCAATACAGAATTCCCTCTCTGACAGTCATATTTAACACCTGAGTTTTTGTGCTTAAGAGTTTTTAACCTTTAACTCACTTTTGACTCATTAAATGTTTTATACATTTTTTTTTTGTTGTTGTTGTTGTTTTGGTTTTGGGTTTTTCCAGACAGGGTTTCTTTGTGTACCCCTGGCTGTCCTGTAACTTGCTTTATAGACCAGGCTGTTCTCAAGCTCACAGAGATCTGCTTGCCTCTGCCTCCACTCAAGCTCACAGAGATCTGCTTGCCTCTGCCTCCAGAGTCCTGGGATTAAAGGTGTGCAACACCACTGCCTGACTACAATTTTAAGAACTGAATGAAACAAATGAAAAATCTCTAAATCTTTCTAAACAAATTCCCAATTTCATAATGTTGGTTACAAACAATTGAATTTTTCATGAAGATAACATACCAAGTCCCATTTAGAAAAAAACAAGGTGGAATAAAGTAAAAGTAGTTCATGGAATCGATGCTGATGAGAAGAATAAGTCTATTCAACAGCCAACTTCAAAAAGGATTTTTACCAAGTGGAAAAATGACCCAGAGGAAAACTTACTACTGCCATTTTCCTACATATAATTTCTAACTATATACTAAATATTTCTCTTTATATCTACAGATAAATATAGTGGTCATTTCCCCTCCCCCCCCCCAGCATCCACAACTGTGCAGAGAATAAGTGACTGACTTACGTGGTACCAAGCCCAGCCAATACATCTGCTATATAACCCCTATCTCTGAAGTTCAGGAAAATCACAGAGGAGAGGATGGAAAGCTTCTAAGAGCCAGAGGACCAGGCCTGATGCTGATAGCATCCCCTATACATGACAGGGAAGCTGTACCCAGGACATCTAAGCAATATGGTTGCTTGAACAAGACCAGCACAGTGACAACACTGGTGACAAGCCAACACTGACAAGGCAAATTCCATGTGGCCCAAACACTAAATGAAGAGCTACAAGTAGTCAATGGCTGCACAGAAAAGGAGAGTTTGTTTCCCCAAATGGGAATGTTTTGACATATAATGCTATCTAACAAGTGCATTTCATGTCTTCTTCTGGGAACTGTTTAAAATAAGTTCCCTGTAATGAATAGCCTCACACACACACACACACAGAGGGATTTGCCAAGACCACATAAGCAAAAATGTTGTGTAACAGATTTCACACCATCAGAAAGAAAAACATAAATCTCTGAGATCACAAAAGGCAGAAAAAAGGTCACTGCTTTCAAATATACATAAAATACTTTAACATTTTGGTGACCAAGGAGTCACTTGGTCCAAACACAGAAAAGAGACTTTTTAATTGGACAGTAGTAGCATTTAGAGAATTTTCTCCTGAACTTACCAGGTGTACTTGTTGAAGAGGCCTTAGAAGTTACAAGCTCTGCATCTTCCTAAATACACAGAAACAGTCAATTAACATCACATCACCAGAAATACTGCTCTCTGCAGCTAAGGTTTACAAGCTCCCTTTCTATATTCTTTCTGTCATCTATCTCGTTTTCCTCACGTTCTGGTTCACACCACTTCTTTCTCTGCCTTTCAGTCTTCTCCCTACTGTCTTCATAAAGCTCCTCTTTTTGCTAAGTTCTGAGAACCTGTACCAGCCAACACTAGGAACCTGAGATGACACTGATTTGAGGAATGCTATGAAAGGAGGCCAGCTGGCATGAGGAAACAGTTATGGCTGCATTGAAGGCAACATACAAAACAGGTGAGGGAAGTTCACTCGGCTAAGATGTGGGGTAGGACAAGAAGGGCACACTCAACAGACACACAAACTGCTGATTTAATATAATTCTTTAATATTATATTAGCACAAAGAAACTGAAAAGCCTAACAGATTAGAAAACCTGTAAGACTCCTCTCATTTAAAGGTGGGTGTAAGAACAGAATTAACTTTACAGGTTAATTTTTCAGTACTTCCCTACAACTCCCACATTTAACTCAATTCACCAAGAATGAGACTATAATTTCATATATAACACTTAAGCTATTTCTAATACTTATATACTTGTAGAAATGAAATAAGCAAACAGGCTCAGGTGAATTGAATTCAGATTAAGTAATCTTTACTTGTGTTTTTTTTTTTTTAATAACCTGGGCTTGAGTTTTACATGTTAAGGTACAGAGATCTCATATTCACTTACGCTTCTGTCTTCTTTTTGTTCTGTTTCTACTGTTGACCCCTTCTCAGCAATTCTTCTCCTGGAAAGGCAAATTGGTTAAAAGTTTTATGTAACCTATCTTTACCTGCCTGCCTGCCTGCCTGCCTGCCTATCTATTCTTGTTCAAAGATCAAAGAGGACAAAACCATCAAAGTGTCCTTGACTCTGGACATAGCCACTACAATAAAATCTCTCACCTCCTGGCCAGCAGAGCACTCATCTCTTCCATTAAGCCACTGCCCCCCAGAGGAAGGGGTCCATTCCCACGACCAGCATCTGTTCTGGATGAGGCCAAGTTCACACCCACAGTACTCCCTCCACTTGGGAAAGAGCCATCCTCCACCTTAATGAGAAGGTACACATAATAATTTCCTATGTAGATAATAATGTTTACCAACATATTCAAATCAGAAGAACATACCATTATTGATTTAAAAAATACTTTAAGATCACCAATAATGGGGGGGGGGAACAGTACTGATTTTCCATATGATATACTGAGAAAGACACAATCCTGATGGTATGGTTTTCTTCATCCTAATTACATAATTTAAATTCAATGCTGAGGGAGAGATGTGATAATAACGGATTAAAATAATAGAAACTGCAAATAAATTTAACAAATAATACTGAACTAGAAAAAAATATGCCATAAAAACAATTGGCTACCTCCCTCCAAATCTACACTTAGAAAAATGGGAACATGGTGTTTTTTTTTTTTTGTTTGTTTGTTTTTTTTTTTTTTTTTTTTACTTACTCTAGAAACAATGTGTGGTAAAGGAGATGTATACAGAGAAAACAAGAGGCAAATAGTGGTCAAGTGTTAACTAGCAAATCTAGGGATGATGGGGGTCACAGAAACTCTACACCACCCGAAATGTTAAATTATGTTGGTTTTTAATCAAGAGTTAATAACAGGGTTCATGCCACCATAATACAACAATTTCACTATTTTAGACATTTAGAAACAAAGAGACACACATTTAAAAGTTATGGAATTTGGTAATTTACCCGAGACACTTTCCTAAGTTTTGCTCCCGCAATTGCAGCTGCAAGTCCAGTTAAAGGGCGATTGTCTTCAGACATGGATCCAGAGAAAAATCCAGATGCAGGGAGGGGAGGGGCAGGAGGAGGAGGGGGAGGAGGAGGTGGGGGAGGAACCTGATTAGGAAGAGGGGGTGGGGGAGGCGGTGGAGGAGGCCCAGTGGATGGCAGTGGAGGTGGTGGAGGGGGTCCAGGGGGAGGAGGAAGTGCTGAGGAGAGGGTAGGGCCTGGTGGGAGAGGGGGCGGTGGTGGAGGTGCAGGTGGTCCCAAGACAAGGCCTGAGAGGAAGGAAAGTTAAGACAGCCATCAACAACAGAGCTAAACCATTGTATTTTCAGGAGCAGAGATATAGAATGACACTCTAGAGTAAGTTGTTTCAGACACTGTACATTAAGAGATTAATTTACCATAATGCTTACAGTCTACACTAGTTTTTAACAAAAGACACTAGACTTGAAAGGCAACTATTTAATATTTGACCTTTAGTAACAGAACCAATGAGACCACCCCCCCAAAGGGATTTGAAAACAAATGCTTGTACTATTTTAGAAAAATATGAAATGTTACACGCATGCACACAGTTAGTACTGCCTGAAATAACAGACCCAAGATAATCTGTGTAAAACCTTAGATGCTGAGATAATATACTTGACTATGATGAAAAAAGGTATTTATTTACAGACAAGATGGAAACTGTAGAGAAGTGGAACTCAGGTTTTAGTATCTTAAAGTGATTCTACATGTAAATTCAACATATAGCCTAAATTGAGAATTACAGAATAAAATGAATTAACTTTGAGGAAAAACCTCAAAATAACTGAAAAATAATTAAGAATTTAAATACAGAGATGTTTTAGCTCTCGGGGTAGGGAATATAAGAAGAAGTCAAATTTTGAAGAAAAAAAAAAAATCACAAAGAGTAAAGAATTTACTTAATATCAAAATACCAAATTAATGAGTATTTACTTAAGGGCTAACTTTTGTTTGTGTAAAGACAGGGTTGAGTTTGCACACTGGGTAGCAGTGATCACTTCTGAGGCTTGAACAGGCAGATAGGGAATGAGAGGCTGAAGCTGTGCTGTCCCATCTTGCAGACTGAGCTATGAGCCAAGCAGGAGGTAGTTAGCCTTGTCAGCTGCCTGTGCCTCTTGATCAGATGTCAATCACAGATATGAAATTACACATATCCTAATTTGATCCACCTTTTAGAAAAACCTGATATCATCAAAAAGTTCACTTTCTAACAAAAGAGGTTATGTTTAAATCTAGATTATAATATTGTTTCTGTAAGCATGAATCTGTCTTTGGCATCCCCACTACACTGTATACTTATAAACAATCAACAACAAAAAGCAGGGTCAGCATGTGTCTTCTTACAGAACCAGGTTGTCTTTATGTACATTCTTCACAGTTGTTGCTATATGGTTCTTTCCTGCTGCCATGTGGCACAGCTTGTGTTTGAGAAAAACCTCAAGGACCCTGTTTGCCCTTATACCACTACTTGCACCTGGACCATGGAATCCTCTGGGGGCACACACCAAGCCTGCCAACCCTGTCCTGCAAACAGCCAGAGGCTACCCACCCTAGAAGTCTAATCCAAAAGTTCAACACTGGAGGCTAAGGATAAAAGGGATCTGCCTGAGAGAAGTGGCCTCAGAACAAACTCCGGGATAATTTTGTATTGAACAGCTCTCCAAGTCTCCAGGACAGTATTTAGACCTCTTATTTACTGCACGGAACATGAACTGGTCAAGTTTTCCTAGTGAAGCTTAAAACAAATTTATTACTAAAGGGGTCCCTAAATATTAGAAAACACCTTCTACAATTCTTACTGCCATGGATCAAAAAACATAAATTTAATACAGACATCTCCAATACTAAATTGCTATATACAATTAGGGCCTTGGGATAAAAAAAAAAAGAAAACCTTCAACAACAACAACAACAACAAAAAAAAAAAAAAAAAAACAAGAACAAAAAACAACCCAGGGAGGTAATGCTGTGGCACAGAGATGCTCAGTTATCAAAACCTCCGATCCATTCTTCTAGGCAGTCGTTGCTAGACACTTAAGTGACTAGAGGTCTGCACTGGGATCGTGAAGCCTTACCCTGTGGGGTTGGCGTCTCGGCCGGCTGAGAGGCTGCCTGCAAGCCTGGCTCGGAAGCAGAGGCGTCTCCCAGCTCAGGATTTACAGGGTTCTCCACAGAGGCAGGGGCAGCTGCAGAGGGAGAAGGGAGAACACTGGGCTTGGATGAGGGAGTTGAGGCAGGAGGGGTGCCTGGAGGAGGAGAAGCCTGGGATCCACAGTGTGACAGTGAGGCGAGGGGAGGCAGCGGCGGCGGTGGCGGCGGCGGCGGTGGCGGTGGAGGAGGCGGCGCTGCTGGCCCTGAGGTAGGCGGCGGAGACACCGGGTATGTTACAGAGTCCAGCAGCCCATTGGGTGCTGTCGGTGACGGAGGCATTGGGGGCACAGGAGAGGAGACACAAACCGGGAGGACTGGCCTTGGGCCTGCGGCTTTGCCAGGGGGGCTACTAATCATTATCGGAGGAGATGGAGGGAGGGGCGAGAAATTGGAAGTAGACCAGGCACAGGGCTTCGCAGCTGCAGGCTGAGAAGAGGGTGTGTTCACAGGAGAAGAAGGTCGAGAGTTTTTGTTCAGAGGACGAGGAACTGTAGCGTAATGGGGAAGAACAGGGTGGAAGGCTGAACCTAGAGATGTTGCAAAACGTGTCGCTGAGTGTCGAAGTGGTGGTGTAGGGGGTGTGGAAGTAGGTGGCAAAGCAGTCACTACAGCGTAATCAGGAGTGGCATCTGACACTGGAGCTGAGATGACTTTAGCGTATGATGGAGGAGGTGCTGAAGGAGGCTGGCAACTGGAATACTCAGGAAGTGGAGCATTATACAGGGAGGTGTCTGAAGATGGAGCTGGGTATAAGGAGGAAAGCAGCAGCACAGACAGGGTAAAAAAGGAGAGAGAAAAAGGGAGCTAGTGAACCCACAAAACCAGCAATCAGACAAAAATGCATCAATGCAGACTACAGTTAGCACCAGAAAACTAGGCAGACAACTGTCTCCACTTGAGAAAATTTAACTTGTAAAAACGTTTTGAAACCCCAAAGAAGATGAAACAAGTTCTTTTAAATGTGTAGACTAAAACTCCTTCCTTCATTAAAAAAAAAAGGATAGTAATGGACATAACTTTTATTATTTAGTCCACAAAAAGAGCATCAAAATTATTACAAACAGCAGAATAAACTGAGCTGTTTCAGACCTGGCAAAATGTTGACTGCAAAGGGAAAGAATACCCAACTCTGCTTATTTGTAGACATTTCTATCTTCTCAGCTGTAACTCCAGTCAATCAGGCAATTAAAGTCAATGAATTAACTAACAACTAACTAGAGCCAGTACTGCACCCATAATGGCTTCTGATACAGCTCAAAAAGATTAAAAATTCTGATAAATACTAACACCTTAAACTTTACCATATCACAAACCTCTATGACACTTGATAAATTCCATCAGATTGTTATTTTTCACAATACCAGAAAGTGCTTAAATAATCAGTTACTTTTAAGAGAATATTTTCATCTATTTTAATTTTTCCTTCAGAAACCTAACTGTAGCCAAGCTAACTTCTTGCTGCATGTAGCATAATACATATAGTATGTGTTGTTTTAAGCGACTGCACAAGGGAAGTATCTTCCCAGATCAATATAAAAAAAAATCTTTGCATAAAAACACTCATACTTTATAAGCTGAATTTTGGGGTGGCAAGAAAAATTAAAATGACATAATAAACATTCCCAAAAGCTTTCTTTTGGTTTCTAAGCAATAAAAGAAACAGTGAAGCAATAATTGCTGAGTATTTATCCTAACTCCAGAGAGTACTGCTTATTCCCGAGCCCTGCACATATTCACGATTGCACATTACTTCGCCCAGCTCGGAGGCACGGCACGGGCTAAGTCTGCAGACGCCTTACCAGCATTGGACATTCTGCGCTCTCGCTCCCACTCCAGCTGCTCCCGCTCCAGCTGCTCCAGGCGCTCCCGCTCACGGTCTTGCCTCTCCCTTTCCAGGCGCTCCATGTGTTCCCTTTCCTGCCGCTGCCGCTCCAGCTGCTCCTGCTCCAGGCGCTCCCTCTCCAGCTTCTCCCTCTCCAGTCGTTCTCTCTCCAACCTCTCCCTCTCCATTCTTTCTCTCTCCAGCCTTTCCCTCTCCAGGTCCTTCTGTCGCTGCTGTTCTTGCAGCTGCCTGAAATTAAAAATTGAATCAATGAAAATAGGACCTGTGGACACCACTTCCACACAAAGGAAGGCTTCCTTACAGACCACCTCATATTTTATACAAAAGAACCGACTTCAACAGGCACATGGGCTCAGTCACACAATTTTTGAGAATAGAGAAGAACGAATACATCTAACACTTTAATGACCAAGTTTAAGTGCAAGGTGACAGTTCACAAAACACAATGACCATGGCTATAGTTGAATAAACATTTGCCGAATTGAAAATAAACCAGTTAAGTACAAAATAAACTATAGATCAGTTAAATTTCATGCCTATAGACAGACTGTTATAATTTGCAATAATGCATCCTTTTATATTTCCTAAAATTGTAAGGAGTGATCCTGTAAAAAATGCTGTTAGTTTTTACTGATGGTTCTTCTAATGGAAAAGCAGCTTATGTTACTAATGGTTAAAAAAAAAAAATATGTTGTACAGACAGATCCAGCTTCAGCCCAGACAGTTGAGTTATGAGCTGTTCCAATAGTTTTTCAGCTTCTAGTGAATGACTCATTTAATTTGTATACTGACAGCCTTTATGTTTCGAAAGCTTTTCAAGTAATAGAGACAGTTCTGTGCATTGGAATAATGATCAAATTAAAATACTGAGCAAATTCAGAGTGCCATTCATCAGAAAAAGTCACCGTGCTTTGTGGGTCATGTAAGAGTTCATTCAAACCTTCCCTGCCCACTGGCTGAAGGGAACGAATCAGCAGATTAACAAAAATGGTGGCTTTATCTCAGGTAGAATTAGCTCAGCAGTCACATAGCTTTAATCATCAAAATAGTAAAAGTCTAAGAAAACATTTTGGTTTAGAGAGACTGCTCGTCAAATTGTCAATGTGTTGTGTGCCCACAATATTTACCTGTAACTAATTTAGGAGTAAATCCACGAGGCCTGCTTCTTAATCATTTGTGGCAAATGGAAGGTACTCATGTTACAGAATTTGGCAAATTAAAATATGTACATGTGACAATTGATACATATTCAGGCTTCTTAATGGCCAGTGCACAAACTGGAGAATCCACTAAGCATGTGATAAGTCACTGTTTAAAATGTTTTGCTTGCATGGGTGTTCCAATGATGGGAGATGTCATTCTGTATGTTTCTCATACTGGTTAATAATAAAGCACTGTTGGCCAATAGGAAAGGAAGATAGGAGGGACTAGGAGACAAGGAGGAAATAGGAAGTAGGAAGGAAGAGTCAAGATGGAGAGTCTGCAGAGAGCTGGACGCCAGCCGCCTCCCCGGTAAGAGAAGGTCATGTGAAAATACATAGATCAGCAGAAATGGGTTAATAATTAAGACAGAGCTAGCCGATAAGAAACTAGTAACTGGCCAACAGTATAATATCTAATACAGAGTCTCTGTGTATTATTTGAGGCTGGCGGCGTGGCGGCGGGTCAAGACCAGCGGCGGCGGAAAAACCGTACTCGTTACAAATGGCGCCCAACGTGGCTAGTAAGAACTTCCACTTAAAATTTAACAAAAGCTTAACAAAGGGTTTTAGAAACAAAAGAACAGAGACAAGCAAGGTTTCTTGGTAGCAGCATTTTTCTCAGTTGAACTCTGCTTTGCTAGAGACAAGCAGATATTCGCGCGGCTCCTTTAAGGGAAGATTCCTGACTCAGCCTAAGAGGCAAAAAACCGCACAGCTTTTAAATAACTCTGCTAACAATTCATTGGTGTGTATGAGAGATGGCAATGGCAGTGACCACATCTCCAAGCCGGCAGCATGCTTTCTGGGTGGCAGCACAGACCAAGGCGGTGAGCACAGCTTTCCGTGCTGGTGGGTAAAAGTACCCGCCACCATCTTTGGTAAACCGTGGCTGACACAGCTATGACTTTCATTTTAGCAATGTTGTTGTTTACCGGATAAAAGACTTGTGGCCAGACGAAGATAAAGATTTACAGTAAAGACAGAGTCATATTAAAAAGAACCTCTAAAGGTTTACAGTGTGTTTTAAAATATACGTAGACATGAAAAAAAAAATGGTTTTAAAGAGACAAAGAGGAACTGGGTGTGGTGGCACACGCCTTTAATCCCAGCACTCAAGAGACAAGAGGCAAGCAGATCTCTGTGATTTTCAAAGTAAACCTGGTATGCAGAGTAAATTCCAGGGCAGATAAGAGTTACACAATAAAACCCTATGTCAAAAAATGAAAAAATAAAAGTAAAATAAACAGAGTAATATAAAGCCACGTAAAGATGAAAAGCTCAGAGAGAATCTGGTTACTGTATGCTATTGTGTTGTCTCTACATTGACTGCTAAGAAAAACTGATAAAGGAAATGCTGCTGGATTAATTCAATTCATATATTTTAATGCTTTGACTCCAACATTTAAGTTCAAGGACAAGTTACTGGGGAAAAGGATTTCTATTTTTGTTTCCACAGAAAATGAAAAGCTGTGGATTCCTTCCAGACTAATGTGGTTTGAGCAAGCCAGACCCCCTGAAACAGAGTACCAGGTGATCCTACATTCAAAACAGCTGAACAAAGCAGCCTTGCAGACTACAGCCAAGATTTCTGCGTCTTCTTAGGATTGCCCCATGACAACGTCCCCTATCAGCAGGAAGTAGTTTGGAAAGAACAACGCCCCAATTCCCAAATATTGTTTATAAATGTTTGTTTTCATTTAAATGGACTTGGTTATAAATGGTTAATGATCACAACCAATATTCTTTTTAAAGGTAAAAAGGGAATTATGGTATAGATATGGATACTTTGTATTGGAATGGATTTTCATTTATTGATACAATTTAATGTCAATTTTGTGAGATGTATATTTCTCCTCTTGTTTAGGTATTGTGTTTATTGAGCTCAGTTAGAAATGTAATGTATAATGTAGTACAGATTATAGATAGTTACCTATGATAGTTAGAACTTATAGTTAAGTTAGTTAGTATTTCTAGATATACAGAAATATTTGAGATGGATAGGCATTCTTCAAACCTTTCAAAGGCCTACAGAATATGGCATTTAAAATGGTTTAGGGTTTTTCTTGACAATGAGGCACAATTGCTCCTGGCAACACCATTTATGTCAGAAAGGAAGATGGACATAGAAGAAACGTGTTATGAAGTTTGCTTTCAATATAACAAGACTAGCCATTTGGACAAGATACTGCTCTTGTCTGGACTGTTTGACTTTGTGATGTATAAACTGGACATGCAGGACCCACAGGAAAGTGACTCCTGATTCACGATGGACATTGCTACAGAGATCCTGCTTCATGGAAGAGTCTGCGAGACAGTATGCAGGACACAGAAAAAAGTGACTGTCAAACTGCCAATACAAAAAGACAGTTTAAAGTTTCCTGCTTTGCTAAAGAGTCAGCTAGACACACTATGGCCTATGGGCTGAAGATGAAAGATTACAAAAGAACTTCGGGTGACCAGGCAGTGAGTTGTCTCTGTCATTTCTAGAGTTTATATACTATCCTTCTGTGGTCTTTGATGGAGTTGAAGACAAATAGTTATGGTTATAGTTTTCATTAGTTAGGATTAAAGATAAGTTACTTAGACTTCAGACACACAAAGATAGAATAGATGATGAAATATTTTCTTCAAATCTTGCTAAATGTTAATGGACTAAATATTGTTAACTGTGATTCTTACTTGATAACTATTGTATAATATATTTTGCTATGTTAAGGTTAAAACCCTTCTTTTTATTTAGACAGAAAAGAGGAGATGATGGGAGATGTCATTCTGTATGTTTCTCATACTGGTTAATAATAAAGCACTGTTGGCCAATAGGAAAGGAAGATAGGAGACAAGGAGGAAATAGGAAGTAGGAAGGAAGAGTCAAGATGGAGAGTCTGAAGAAAGCAGTATGCGGCAGCCAGCTCCCGGTAAGAACATGTGGACATACATAGATTAACACAAATGGGTTAATAATTAAGGCAGAGCTAGCCGATAAGAAACAAGTAACCGGGCCAACAGTATTGTACCAATACAGAGTCTCAGTGAATTATTTGGGGCTGGTGCGGCAGCGGGACAAGACCGGGAGGCAGCAGGCGGAAAAACCCGTACTCGTTACATTCCAAAAGTTATAAAAACAGACAAAAACATTTCAGAAATTTTATGCTCAATGGAAAATTGATCACAGGATAGACATTCCTTACAACCCTCAAGGGCAAGGAATTATGGACTGTGCTCATAGCTCCTTGAAAACACAACTTTTAAAAATAAGGAGGGGGAGTTGTGCCCCAAGTCTCCACATGATGTATTAAATCATGCACTCTTAAATTTTTTGAATGTAGATACCTGTGAGCAATCTGGGGCAGATAAGATTTTGGCATGATGGAACTCTAGCGACATTTGCCTAAGTCAAATGGAAAGATCCACACACTAGTCTATGAAAAGGACCTGATCCTGTCCTAATATGAGGTCAAGGGCATGTTTGTGTTTTCTCGAAGGAAGAAAATGAGGCTCAGTGGCTGCCAGACCATTTGGTGAGATGCATGGAGCAGAGGAAAACCGGACCAGACACCGAAGAAGCCTGCCCAAGCATGCCACCTGGATGCTCTCTGTAACCGGACCAGGAAGTAAGAGAGTGAGCTGCGCAAACTACCACAGCATAAGACTGCACCTGGGCCCCTGCCCCAATGGATATGGTCAGTGCAACAGGTGCAGTCGGGATAGATATCTCACTACACAATAGTTAATTTTGGGATCTAGAGCCCCTGGTTTTTTGTTTTGTTTTGTTTTTCAAGACAGGGTTTCTCTGTGTAGTCCTGGCTGTCCTGGAATTCGCTCTATAGATCAGGTTGTCTCAAACTCATGGAGATTTACCTACCTCTGCCTCCCAAGTGCTGGGATTAAAAGCCACCGTCTGGCTGACCTTTTTTATATAACACACATAAATCTGCTTTTTCTTTGACACAACACACACTGGAAAGTTACCCTAAACCCTTAGTCTGACAACAGCATTACTTAGGTCTTAAGTTTAAGCGGTTTCCA